GAAAAAGTTACTTTTGAATTCATTGTTCATATAAAAGTATTTTGAAATTAATCTTAGCATTCTCCGAATTACACTTTTGAAGAACTCTTTTATTTGTATAATGGTATCTTGTAAAACTTCCCGAGATTATTTTTCTAAAATTAATAGAAATTTGTATCCTATGTCAATTGCTACTTTCTCATAGACTCCACTCTCAGAGCGCTTCAAAAATGTTTGTACAGTGCTTCTGCACTGAAAAAATAGACATTGTTAAAAAATTATATTTGTTCGAGAGATTGTACTACCTACCAATAACTTTTTATGTTATGTCCGGCAGAATAATATAAAACCATTCGACAAACAGTCAATAATTATGGCACTAACAGACATTGAAGCTCATTCTTAATGTTGCCAGTTACAACATACATAATTGTATCGACTGGGCATGGTCTGAACTCAAGAAATATTGAAGAACGAATATTTGAAAAGAATGCCCACAAGAAGTTTCTACATGAAATAACTGGTTGGTTGATTTAGGTAAGGTGAATCCTCAAACAATATCATTCAGCTAGCGGTGAATTGCCGCAGTGGTAGCGCGCCCGACTCATGATCGGAAAGTCATGAGTTCGATCCCAAGTTCGACCAGATATTTTTCTTGAGAGACTTGATCTAGTTGAAGCTGGGATGATTCTACAATATTGCATGGCTGACGGACTGCAAATAGCTATGATGTTCTCTAGGTGGCTCGGGGAGTTATTAACATCATCTACACAGGACCCGAGGCTAATGACCAATGCAGTCGATGCCGAAGACACCCAAAAAATAATTCATATACAACACTGAACATCAGTCATATTATCAGTGGGAGTTAATTTTGCAAATAGGCTGAGATAAATATTCATGAAAATAGACGTGTGCTTCTTTGGTAGATTATAATAGTCAAGCTCGATTGGAGAATTACCTTAAATTCCAGTAAATAAATACCTAACCAAACTCGATTTACGAGCAGTTTTTGTTGCACAAGAATAAAACATTCAACTCTGAGCCCATATTCCTTTGTGGACAACATGATGAGACTGAACAAATAATTCACTCCATATGCAACCTATTTCTTGAAATATGAATCCCCAGATCAGTCTTGTTTAGGTGCTTCAGTAGGAATCACGACTTAAGTCTTATACAGTGTTTGCCACATCGATTTTGCATTACAAGTTTGAGATGAAGGAGTGAACTTATCAATAAAAGTTTCATATGAAGGTTTCAGATAATGCATTTAGCTTTTCCAGAATATTCTCTAATAACTTAGGTTTTTCTAAATGAGATTATTTGGGTATCTACTGATAGGTTCAAGAGTTATTCCAAGATTAACGCCGGGAAGGAATTATATTCATCCGTTCCCATTTTCAATGAAATCTCATTTGTTTCATTATGAGTATGTTTTCAACATACATTTTTTCATTATTATGACCAAAAACTTTTTTGAGACTGGTTCAATCAGAATTCAATAAAACAAAATGTTCTTGATTTTATTGAAATGGAACACCTCATACTTGATTTTATATTCAATTTCCCAGCAAAAACCTCTTTCAGAAAATATGGAGCTGCGTGAGTATATATTTAGAGGTTCAAGTGATCTCTACAATAAAGACAGAAAATTTTATAAAATTTAATTTTTTTGTATAGAATCAACCAACTAAGTCATATAGCCACTGATTCGTAGTCAGTCCGCAACACATCAACTAGTAGGTATGTCTTTTGGTTTAATATATAGCAGTTGTCAATGTTTTATTTCTTATATTGACTCTATTTAGATATTCCAGGATGCGAGGAATGTAACTTGCATTATGTTCAAGGATGTTCAAATTATTCAATTCTCACTGATTCCTTATAGTCCTTAGTCTTTAATGTCCTTAGTGACATGCATTACATCTTGGTCTATTGCCCCCTATCAGAAGATAGGATTGGTAAGATAGGTATATCTGATGAGGAGGCGATACATGATTAATTATTCTTTTCTAGAAAGATATTTCGGGTACGTTCATTTTGATATATTGGGTTTGACTTCTTAAATAACTCTCATAATTATTCTCGTCACTCTCATAATTATTCTCGTCACTCTACCACGTAGGGGTGTTATTTTGTTTTATCAAGTCATCTGAAAGGATGAAGACCCCTTCATCGACAGTATACTACCTTTCTACAAGATAGTAGGTGCTTATTAGGCTCAAATATCTGCTTTATTCATATATGAATACGTTTTCTAGAGAAAAATGACACTCAGAGACTACGAGCACATAAGGATCTGTTATTATTCTTTAAACGACATTTTTTTTGTGGGGGACTCAATATTTTATACTATTTTTGTGGATTTATAACCTTAATGTATTGATATCTGAAAGTTTCATATGAAGAATTTTGACAACTTCACTCCCATCTCAAATTTCTGATAGAAGCTCAATGTGGCACACACTGTATTTATGGTAATTATGCATAATCTATATTCATTCGAATTTTCAAAAAATCTTTATGTGTAACTCAATATATTTTTGTCAACTTATCACAAATGAAAAGTCAACATTTTTTGGTCAGATCTGCTTCTGTGAGATTTACAACCCACCAAAGTTCAAAAAAATTAAAATTTATTACAAAATATGGAAAACTAGCACAATAAATCTTAACAGGAATATGTCAAAAAATTTGATGTTATAATTTCTCAGAACATTTTAGATCTCATTATGCTCAAAAACATGTTTTCTCTTATTCAACCGTCATATTATGTCTTTCGATAGTAAATTTTGATCTACAACTTATTTCAATTAAATTTATTATATGGATCAATACAATTGTCTTTACTTACGCTACTTTTGTATGCTATTACAAATTAACCAGAAAACTTAGAATTTTTAGTAATTATCAAAATATAAGGTCACAAACATTAAAAAAACAAAACACTAACAGATACAACAGTAGGCTTTAGATGAAAATATGAAGAGTAATTGAGAAACTCTATTGTTGAGATATATACAGGTTTAAGTTAGGAAAATACATCCAGTTAAGGTTTGCTTATTCAAATTAAAATATAAACTCAATCATAGTATGAACCACTGATCGATACTTGTATCCTATATAAACTCAAATATTAATTCAAAATTTCTTACAAATATAGTAATTATGTTCAAAGAGTTTGCAATTTGTGTCTGTGAGTCCGTGGAAGCTATTTTTCCTTATCACTTATGTAGTTATTAAATCCAAAAAATACTCAAAAACATGAGAATTCATACACTTTCATTGAATTAATGGCAAATGGTGAAAATTGATAGACTTTTCTCTGCAATATTGATAGATATTCTACATCCAATTGTGGCTCATTAAAAAGCTTGGGAAAAATTAATCCAAAATTGTTTGTTTTACTCACTTCAAGTGAGATTTCAGCATTGTTCATCATGACAGTTTTAATCAACGTAAAAATGCACAACTAATGAAAACTTTTTTTCAGAAAATAGTGATTCTCACCTTCCAGAAGAGGATACATCGGTGGCATGTGCTCATGAATATGGACAGGCCTGGTGACCACTTCTTTGCTGCCAGGTTTCAAAAAATTGAGGTTATCTTCTTTGGACACAGGAAACTTGGGAGCAGGATGTGCTGCCGGGGCAAAATTAACATAGGTAACATACTCCTCTAATTCAGACAAATTTACCCCCATTTCTTGAAGAGCCAAACCCAGATGATCTAGATTAGCTTCTGTCTGACCGAATTCATTAGCATAATCATTTGTTGTCTTGGTGATTTGTTGAATATATGATGTGAAAATGTCTGTTAAAACCTCAAGAGGCGTAGAGTTGATGGAATGCCATCCTATAGTTTGGAGAATTTTTCCCACTGCTATTTTACAGTGATCACGGCTGTATTGTGCAGCCATTTTTATAAATGTTGAAACTTCTATACAATAAATCTAAAAAAATCAACTTCAATGTCAACAGATTTCTTCTTGTGGAATTTGTACGAAGAGGGTAAATCGTATTTTAGTTCAGCCAAAACTTCAGCTTTTGCACCCAAGGATTTGGCAACTTTTATTACGTGTTGCCTAAAATAAAACTAGTCAGTACACAAAATTATAATGATGGATTGATCTTACCTTGTAGATGTTTTATGCAATGAATATACTGTATTATTGGAAATTCTCAGAGCAGTTTCTAAAAATTTCATATCAATTCCTGCATTTTGCTTGGTGCCAAATGGTGGGTTCATCAAAACGGTATCAAATCCTTTATATGACCTTAAAAGTATAATATTAAACATTTACAACATAACTCTGGATTTATAAACTCTAGAACCAGTTTCAAGTTGTCAGGTTCATTGGTCGGCTGAATATGGATAAATGCATTTGCAAAATTTAGCTGGCTTGGTCAATATGAGTTTTTGTTTATGATGTTGGTTTTGGTTAGAAGTATCAATTGGTTCAGGATTTTTTAAATTATATCATTCAACTTATGGGACTACTCAGCATTTTCTTTAATTGTGTCATAGTACGATTTCAACAATATCGGCTTATAATATTTTTTCTTTGTTGTTTTAAATTCAAATACTAAGAGTTGAGTTTTCTGATTGTCAACTATATTTTGCTTAGGTATATTGATTTGTTGAAATCCCACTCGTAATTTGAATTGAGTAATCAGATACCTTTCTTTTGTGTTATAAACTTTAGAGGGTAATCGAGGAATGTAAGCATTCACGGTCGGTAACAACTGTGTGAAAGCTATTTTCTGGGCTTTTTGGCCGTGGTCTTCAGGTTTTTATGCCTGATGAACTCTCAACCTACAGTTTATAAATCCAGTGTAATTCTCCAGAATTCCACTAACCTTGGTGAAATGTTGAGTATATCGCACTGAATAATATCAACATTTGTTACTTCATGTTCTCCAATGTTTTCCCGAGATATGTCAATAGCATCCTCATCTATTTCAAAACCAATGACAAGAGAGGCGTTCAGTACAGCAGCACCAATTGTCAATGCTCCACATCCACTTCCCAAATCTGCTACTAGTTTCCCAGAAATATCACCATATTGAGACTGAAAATAACTTTACATGTAATGATATACTTTAAGAGATACATTTTCAGAAAAACATCACTATTAAAAGTATTTATGTTTGGAATATTTTCTAAATATTTTAACAAATTCACGAAAAATTAATTCAGAAAATATATTTACAAATAAGTTACAAACCAGATATATTCGTATTTACGATCAATATCACATAATCTCCAAACCCCAAATAAAATAAAAACATAACCACTAACTACTGACAGAACGTTTGACACTTCTTATTTATTCTTTCAAAACTGACAATGTTTATGGCCTTAGCTAGCAGGGCATTGCAAACAGCTTTTTCCTTCTTATAGTGCAATCTTCGTATCTCTAGTGCACCTTTTTCCGAGAATGTTGAATCTTTATGCACTTTAAGCACGTCAAGGATATTGTTTATTTATTGTAGAGGACACTTTATGAAAAAAATTTCAGAACTATAAATATTAATACTTGCATATCATAATAGCAATACCAACCGGTTGAATGTTCAAGGTAATCACCTCTGTCTTCTACTGTCCCTATTTGAAACTCAAGACATGCTCAGAGTAGAAAATTATAAAACGAAAATATGTGGATGAGAGTTGAAAAAAAATCATAAAATTGACCATACATCAAATCTCTTCAAGCAAGGACTAAAATGATTTTTTAGCTATTTTTGACAATACTTTAATCTTTCCTGGGTAAGAGAAAGAAGTGTTGTTTGGGACATCAGTTGAAAAACAAATCAGTTTAAAATCTTGAGCACAAGTTTAATGGTCAATACAGTAATTTAGGTACTCCACTTTTTTATTTATTTTTTTTGAAAAGCCGTAAAACTGTTCAAATGTCGCAACACTCTCATGCTCAAATTTTTAGACAATTTGACTTTTTATGCAAGTGACGTTCCAAATAATGAATAATATACAAAAGAAGATGTAAATTTGAACTGATCATATCAACATTTGTTTCATAATAAATGACAATTAAGTAAAACAAATGCCACCCAACTTTACGTAAGCCTCTTCATAAAAAAAATCTATATATTTCAGATATCAATTGCAACTCTGATATTTTCATAATAAATAAGTGGCATGCTTATGCAAATTCATTTGTTTTATAATTGAAAATTACAATACATTTAATGTAAACTCATTATTTAGAATGAAGTGTTCTAATGGTATTTTCAACAAGTCATCATTCATGGTAAAGGGACTTATCGGACTTCGCACTGTAAAGATGCACTCACATTCTAACATTAGTTCACTGACAATCATAATACTAATGTGACTTCGATAGTCTCATATAGTTCAAGAGTTCTATTTTAGTATCAAATACAGTGATATTGGTATCTGTTGAAGTTTGTTTTTCCGATAATCAGCTGTCGCAACTCTACGAACAACCTTCAAAAGTCGAAATTTGTGCGAGACAAGGATTACCGATGTATTACCTTTTAACGTGCGATTCCTAGCAAAGTATTCAAAGATAAATTATATTTTTGATTCCAGATACACAATTTTGGTAAACTTATTTGTTATGCCACATCATTAAACCAACTATGGTTTTTATACACCCATCTCAAATATTTTCAGATCGGAAAATTTATACTGTATCAATATCTATTGATTTCATTTGCGAAAATCCCAATATTTTCAAAAACCAAGTAGCTAGATTGTTGTTCAATTGATATTTATTTATAATTTGTGGCAATGTTGTAAAATTGAAATTTTGATATTTTTTGTAATTTAACTGTATTGGGGTAACCAGTTTATAAATATAAACAAATAAATAAATAGACACCGGTATTTTCCAGAATTCCATATTGACTCGAACTCTATTTCTATAATCATATCAAATACCTTTTGAAGAAAACTCAAAATCCAATAAACTGGTTCACTAACGGCAGGACAGTTACTTCCCGTCTTTGAATTCGGATACCCAAACATCAGCTACTGTTGCATAACTTCGCAGACAATAAGTTTTACATTTTAATGAATACCTGGATAAAATTTTAGCTTCTGATGGCAACAATCAAGTAAAATATAAAGACAAGAAAACGGAGAAGTCAAGTTTTTTCAAGGTTCACAATTCTGCTGACTATATCTTGATATACTCATGTTAAAATAACAATAAAAACCTTGGAATACTATTTAGAACCAAAAAGCTGTAGCACTACCGAGCAGATTTCAATAATTTGTTGGACCTCTGGAATATTGCTCACTTATATGAATATTTACCCTTGAATATATTGGATTCTGCGTTCACCCGATTAGAGATCACAATTCATCAACTTGACAACTTGGAATATCGATTGAAAGTAGAGAATTTTTAGATACCCTCAAAAAATAGTTCGAACCAGTAACTTAGTAATGACACTTCTTATCAACTTTTAATGACTTATTAGACCTGGATTGAACCTTCTTTAGAGTAAGATAAAGATAAACAATTTATGGGTGCTTTATGCAATACAGCATCAATACTTTCATATGAGTTTATAAATTGGCAAGTTGAAATTTCTTACGAACAAGAGACACCTACACATATCCACAAACATACTTGAAAAATATAAAATAAAATACAATTATACACATATACAGCCACCGATCTGAGATGTGTTAGCGGGAATCACATGAACTGGTACCGACTTGTAGAAGATCAGTTTGGTTTATTCAACAAATTCAGGTTTGCGGGGAAAAATTGAAACTGCGAAACTCTGAAGTGGAGTAAAAACAGTGACTTTGGACTAAATATTTCATTCTACTCTTGAAAAAATTCTGGGGAAGATCTTTGAAGTAATTTGGAAGGTCAAGGTCCAGCGAATTTTTCCTAGATTTATTCAATCTATTTCGTTGACATCTAAGAAGATTTCCAGATCTTGTTGGGTAATTATGATGGTCTGAATTTTTGGTTTATGAATCATTCTTACATAGGCTTTTTTATGAATTTCTAATACGAAATTATAAATGTAAACCGATGGAACAGTCATAATTTCCAGTTTTGTGAAAAGAGGTCGGCACGAATCCCGCCTATCCGCTTCTGTTGAAATATTTATGGTTTTTTTTGTAGAATGAAGGCTTCAGCGGAATGGGAAGATGCAACGGAAAAAATAGATCCTTTACATTTCCAGAAGCTGGTTTTTGAAAAAAAATTTCATGATTATTTGAATTTAATTGATTTAAAAGGACCAAAAGATCAATATCTTGACCCAAAACAATGACAGTTTTATTAGTATCTCTGTCAATTTCTATCGAGGTCCTAATTATGTCAGCATCAGCATCTTCTTCTACTTCTTCCCAGGAAGACCCTTGTGAATGTAATCTTTTCATTAAAGTTTTTATTATTTTGTCCTTGTTTTTCTCGTTAGATAAAAATGTTTCTTGCAAAAATGGCATTTTTGTATGGTTTTGATAATCAAACTCTGGGATATTGTCTGAGGTTTTTCTACCACTATGTTCTTCTCTTTTAGTTGAAGTAGCTGCTGGTACTGTTGTGACAGTAACTGATTTTTTAATTTCGGGGTACCCATCAAAGACAATATAGATGCTTGCTGCATAATGTTTTTCTACATAGCGCAAATATTTATTCATGATCTATTCCACCGATTCATTTTTCTGATAAATTACATTGTGCAGTAAAAATCCACCGTCGACGACATGCACTATGCCGTCAGAATGCATTGATCTATTCACTCTCAAATAATTCGGTAAGTTGAGATTTTACATTTTTCCTGAGAACATTTTCTGTAAAAAGTGACAGTGGAAAAGGTGCAAGGTCGTATTGTAAATAAGTTTCCATATCTTTTTATTAAATAAACAATAAAAATTCAAATAAAAACAAATTGAATTTCAGTTATCATAATCATAATTTATCAAAGATTATGTTTAGAAAAAAAGTTATCGTATAAACAACGCATTCGTTTAACAATTTTTTAAACAAGTGGTTCCCAAACTATGGGTTGCGGGGGCAATTTGGGTGGGTTACGTAGGTCACTCAGGTATATAAATTATTTCAATAGACATCTACAAATAATATTCAGAGAAGAATCTCAAAATATTGTAGATGTCTTAAAACTTCGAATTCGAGAACATTAACTATAGTAATGTATTTTTTTTACACCATCATAAAGTAGACATTTCAACAAACAAAAAGCATACCGACTTTTTGAAAAAAGCTGATATTTCGACGTGAGAATTTTCGATTGAAAATTAGGGTGCTGTTTGATATCAAGTCAAAATAAGGTGAAAAAATAAATATTTTACCATTTTTGAAGGCTTCAGCCCTGGTCCATATAATGAAAGTAGATTTATAGATGACATGTGTTTGAATGACTTGATTTGTTTGGTTTACCGAGAGCAGTGTAACTCAACACATCTCAATATAAACCTTTCAAAAATTAATTTACTTTGAGTATGATATTGTGAAATACACTTCCTGAGAAAATTTCGAAAAGAATGTGACATACAGGAATTTAAAACTAACCTAACCCAAAACTTTTTCAGAATGCTTTAACGATTAACAGTTCTTGTGCATTTATCAAAAAAGTTAGCTGTTTTTTTTGAAACCCAATGACTCAGTTGGCACGAAAATGATCTAGCCGCTTGATCACTGGCTATTGAAGATGGCATTTTTGCAATTTCCAAAAATGTCATGTGGCAGTCAAATCATTAAGCAGTTGAAAATCCAAATGATTTGAAAAGAGAATATGAACGGATTTTAAATTTGATTTGGACCCGTTTTCAAATTTGAAATGTTAACAAACAACACAGTTTTATTTCCAAATTTCATTTTCCAACTAAAAACCAATAACCAACACGACAGAAAATGAACAAAGGTGCAGTAAACAGATACTGCAAGCGCCAAACGTGATGGCGAGCGATCGCGCAGGTATAATAGACTCTCCCAACTAAATTACTATTGGATTAGGATAATATACATTTAGCATATTGTTTGTATTCCAAACATTCCTTATGGAATTCAATCAGATATCATTCACAGGATTTCTATACTAAATGTATATTGTGTAGGATTCTACACTATACATTTAGTATATTGTGCAGAAATTATGTGATTGATATCAACATTCTTTATGGAATTAAATCAGATATCATTCACAGGATTTCTACACAATATATATTTAATATGTATGATTTAATTCCATAATGAATGTTTGTAGAAATCTTGTGAATGATATCTGATTTAATTTCATAATGAATGTTTGTAATACAAATTGAATAGATTAAAGTGTTTTTTGTATAATTCAGTGTTCATATTAAAGTATTCCTTTCAAAAGAATTTTTCTTTCGTGTAATTCAACGTTTATGTCTATTTCAGGAGGGCTTTTTCCTCCAGTTTGTGTCTGAAAGTTACTTCTTTGCATGATCTACACATCCATGTACAGAGTTACTGCTTTCAAAATTGATTGCTTTCTTNATACATTTCCTGACATACATGAAAAACGGCCATCCGTTTGATTGGAGACCCAAACTAACAACCAAAACAAGCACATTTCCCGATCACCAGAAATGCAATACTATTCTCTCTTGTATATGCCAACTTGGTGGGTGAAATGCCCATCGAGAAGAGTATTGCATTTTTAGGGATTGGAAAAAGTAAGATTAATTACAGCACATATCAGAATATTTCGCAATGCTACCAATGATATAAATCTTATGAAGATTTATATTTATATTACCTATTATGGATGCCAACTTTGTTTACATCTTCCCCCTTTCTTCAACTACCACCTCATATGAATTTTTCTCTATTAAAAAAACTCCCCTTTGAAGTAAGTCAAATTTATATTGCTATGGAAAAATAAGGAAAGCCATTTTTTTTGTTATTTATAATGTTTTCCACAACTTATTCCATTTTTGCAGATTGTGTAGTATTTCATTTAAACTCGAAGAAAGGGTTATATCAGTAAAATATATGCGAAAAGTTATTCTACACATTTTATCACCAGAAGTCAATTTGTTAACACTTTCAAATTTTTAGCGGTTGAATCTTTGAGAGTAGACTGGAGCGCCAAGTTATGATTTCAAATTCGTGACTGGGAAACAAAAATACACAAATCTAATTGAATTGTTCTCAAAGATTAGTGCAAGCAGAAAAAATTATATTTATGTTCTAGAAGCCATCCCGAAAGATGTAAATACAATAGGTCACGACAGTGAAAGACCTTATCCTAAAGGCCAAGTTATAATTAAATCTTAATTCTTCATTCCTATTTATTTAATTCACAATTACCTGTATGGTATACAACATATGCGACCCCAAATGAGGGGGTGTAACATATTGTTCAAGCAACACCTTGGGCTTCTCAAACTCGGATATACACTGCAGTCTTTCTTCCAAATGTCTCAATTTCAAACACGGATACATTAGGATTTTGTCTCGAAACGTGGTAAAACAGGTAAGATGAGGTTACCAAATGAAGACTCTTGTGTAATAAAATATCCAGTGGATTGTGCGTTTGCAGTTTGTAGTGCCGTTCTCTGGATGGAATTCATAGAATGACTATCAGAACTAGTTACTGTTGTCGTTCCTAGCACTGGTAAGGCAGAAGAACTCAAAGTGGATGCTACTCCTTGTTTGAGAAGCAGTTGCTTTTTTAATTGAAGTTCTTCCAAAATTTTGCGGTTAGCAAGTTCTAATGAGGAAAATTAAATCAATTAAAAGAAACAAGAATTAAAACCTGACAGTTGAACAGGGCTCTACAAATTTTGATACTTCATAAAGTTTAAATTATACATTTCCTGACATACATGAAAAACGGCCATCCGTTTGATTGGAGACCCAAACTAACAACCAAAACAAGCACATTTCCCGATCACCAGAAATGCAATACTATTCTCTCTTGTATATGCCAACTTGGTGGGTGAAATGCCCATCGAGAAGAGTATTGCATTTTTAGGGATTGGAAAAAGTAAGATTAATTACAGCACATATCAGAATATTTCGCAATGCTACCAATGATATAAATCTTATGAAGATTTATATTTATATTTACTATTATGGATGCCAACTTTGTTTACATCTTCCCCCTTTCTTCAACTACCACCTCATATGAATTTTTCTCTATTAAAAAAACTCCCCTTTGAAGTAAGTCAAATTTATATTGCTATGGAAAAATANGAAGATTACCTCCCAAAATAATGGATATGGATTCGAAATTTTTCTATCGGAAATGAATACTCTGGTCAAGATCCATATTTTGGAGACCCAACCTGTAAGAATTTCTGCCGATTTGCAAGGTTTATTCTCAATCTTATGAGTAATTTGAATTCTTGTTAAGCCCAATGGATGGATTGTTGGAATTTGTAGTTTCTTTTCTGGAAGGCCCGATTGTAGTGTCGGAGGTACATACATGGTCAAAATGAACAAGAAATGATATCTTTTATATTTTCAAATCTTCTTACACCTCTTCACCCAATATATTTCGAAAAAAAGTATCATTTTAAAATATGATTCAGAAACTATCTTTCAATGATTTTCTCAATGTTGAAAACGTATAACAGGCTTCAACACCTTGATCTATGTCGGCTCTTTGGCCGTGGTCGAGGTTCAAATAATTTGAGCGGGATCTAATTTTACCAAAAGGTAAGACATCTTGTTGATTTCTGGTAAGTTGCCGAATTCATATGTGAGAAATAATTTCCCAGCTGGATTTCATGCATCATTTGAGGTTTTGTTTCAGAAATCAACAAAAGGTTTCCTGTTCTTCACTAAGTCCTCCCTCTAAAATCTAAACAAATAGTCATAATCACACAAAATACAAAATGGCAGAATCATGACAAATTCGAAACCATTATCAATTTGCTTTTGAATAATTATTGATACGTTACAAATCACAATTGATATGACGTCATCGTTTCAACGTCAGAATGAATCTATATTTGAATAACAGACGAATACGTTGTGAAAATACGAGCGCGAGAAAACATTTTATGAGCATATGTTATTCCTTTCAGGTTCATCACATGAATGTTGATGGGGAAAATATTGATATAGGTACCTATTATCTACTAGCTTTCCGGCTTGGTTCCGCTCGGGTGCAATGCAGATGAATATAAATTCACATACGTTTCAACGGCAGAATGAATGTATTTAAATAACAGAAGAAAATGTTGTGAAAATCCCAGCGCGAGAAAACATTTTATGAGCATGTATCATTCATTTCAGGATTATCATATTAATGTTGAAAATATTGATATACATATTATATACCAGCGACCCACCCCGGTTCCGCACGAGTGGAATGCTGATACTAAATATAAATTCACCCAACAGAAATTTAAGGACGTGGAGAAACAATGAAGAAAAGGTAAATTTTCGCCGCGGCTGGCGCCCCAGTTGAAATATTAAAAAACCATTTCTTATCGCACACCTACAACATAAAACGAACCTATACTCCGAAAATATAGCGGTACGGAGAAACAGTGACGAAATGATAATTATCATATGTAAACACGCTCCTTTCATTCCCAGTGGGGACGTTCTAGTTGAAGTATTTAAAAATCCTTTCCCATTGCACATCTACAACATAAAAACGAACCTACCTACAAAATTTCAGCTTCCAAAACTATAACGATACGGGGAAACAGTGATGAATAGGTACCTTTATTTTATGAAAGCCCCTTTTCCCCCGCGGCTGGCGCTCCAGTTGGAATATTTAAAAATCATTTCTTATTGCACATCTACAACATAGAATGAAACTACATACACAATTTCAGCTTCTGAAAATATAGCGGTACGGAGAAACAGTGATGGAAAAGTAATTCTCATATGTAAACGCTCCCCTTTTAACTCATGGGGGTCTTCCTATTTGGAATATTCAAAAATAATTCCTTATTGCACACCTATAACATAAAACGAACCTACATACAAAATTTCAGCCTCAGAAAATATAGCGGTACGGAGAAACAGTGATGAAAAGGTAATTTTCATATGTGAACGCAACCCCAAGTGGCACACTATATTGGCTAGAGTGTAAATTAGTATTGGGCTAATATAGACATATTGTAAATATGAAAAACATATTGAGCCAATATATTATATTTCCGTGTTAGGAATCACACGTTAAAAGGTAAGACCTCGTTAGTCCTTAGCTCGCACAAGTTTCTCAACTTCTGAGAGTTGTCGTTCGTATGGGGGCGGCAGCTGATTAACGGAAAAACAGATTTTAAACAGATTTAAAACAGATTTACATTCCTTTTCCTTTTGTTGCAGTGGGTACTTTCCGTACTATTGCCAAAAAACTATATTCTTCATAGATTATTTGCATTTTATCAAATCCACTCCATTTGACGTTTAAAGCTTAGGCCACCGTATAGAGGTAAACACGGTGCTTAGGGAAACACCTAACGTCATAAAGGACACAAACTGAGCTGATTGAAACATCCTGAAAAAAGTCCACATTCATCCTTTCGTCCTTTCACTCCTTCATTTTCTGATGTTTTACTCTTCTTTATTTTGTGGTTTGTTTATGTTATGTTAGGTTAGGGAAGCCATAACAAAACAGATTGTGAAACTAAGTACCTTTTTTTTTTCAGGAAATCATTGTAAGTTAGCGGATAAATATGAGTCTAACGAGCAGAAATCGATTGAGTATATTAGACAAGCCTCTGAGCAAAGGAAAAGGAGAAGTTTCCTTGAGTTGCTTTGCCTTATTATTTTCTGAAGCAGTTCAGTATTGCCAGAACAAATCTCAAACTATTCCAGAACTCCAGAACAGGTAGGTCCATTTCAATAAAAAATGATCGCGATTTTCCAAACGACTGAATACATTTAGTTAATAACTAACACTCAGTTCAATTAGAGAAAATTAAAAAGTAGGAAAAATTAAATACCTAACTGTACTTGTTTTTTACTGATTTATTCAACTATAATAGAACATAGACTCTCACGGTCGGAGTCACAATTGAAGAAAACAGAATCCGGTATGTGCGTTGAATGCGAGGATGAAGGTTATATCTTGGAACGACTGACTGTCAGAAGTCTCAGCTACTACTAATAATGTCTGCCACAGTAGCTGACTAAACGTTTAGTACTTCAGATTTCATTCGACCACGCCTATCAGCCCAGATTTTGTTTTCTTTAATTGTTCATTCAACTATTTGACAGCAACTCAACATGAGTGTTTCTTTTCATCTCCTCAATACTTCATTGTGAAGTATCTGCTGATCATATGAAATTTTCATTTTCATGCATACACAAGAATTTTGATTCAAAAACATCAAAATAATATGTGATAGAATTGGACAATACTCTCTCTCTCTCACTTTATCGTGAGATTTTCACTGGATAGTTTACAAAATCGCATCAAGTGTTTCACTTACTATAACTTTCTCGAGCATTTTTATACTGCTGTATACTTGAATATCCAAGATAATGAACTGCTGAACTGAATGTTAGTTGGAACTCCTGTTTCAAAACAATTTAAAATTTTCCAATAACTTTTATGGGGATTTTCTCTTTCCACAATCTGAAAAAATTAAAATTGTGATGAAGAACTTCATAAGGTGTAGAAAGAGCAATCTTTTTAGTTCATCCCATAAATTGAAAGTATTTTTTAGAAAAAAAATATAGTGTTTAAATATCTGAAACCAGTATTTAATAATTTCATCTATCAAAAAAGAGCTAAGAAATTGTACTCGTGCTTATCTAAAATTCGCGTCCATCTTCAGAATTATAAAAAATCAAATGTAACTTGCAGTTTTTCTCATCGACTTCACTTTATTTTCAAATTTCTTTGACTGATGTCAAAAGGGTTTACAAATTAGGTTTGTAAAAGAACAAGGCATAATATGATAACTATGAAAATAGTGAATAGAAAATACATCAGTATAAATTAATAACAATAATAAAAAATAACCACTCAATGTGGATAAATGGGTGCTCTTGAAATTTTAACTGAATATTTCAAGGTTTCAAGAGAAATACATTTTACAGTTTGCATCGAAATTTTGAACTGTTTGGCAAAATTAAGAAAAAATTTGAAAATTGTTCCTGGGACACCAATGCAATGTCCAATGTAAACATTGTTCTAATCACTTCTTTGTACAACACAATTAAAAGAGTTTTCATATAAATCAACTGTTGATTTAGATGAATATTGAATTATTCAGCAGTGAATACTAGTTTTTGCTTGTGGGCTTTTTTCGCACACTATGTAGTAGGTACCCTTTGTTGTCAGCAGCTTTGTATTGGCAGGAAAAACATCATATTTTTTATTAGTTGAGTCTCATCTCTAACACCCGGCAAAATGCCAAAATATCTTTGCCAAAACCAACTTCAACATTACCCAAAAATTCCATAATATTTGGGAGTTGGAAGACATTTAATCATCTACCATTTGAAATGAAAAGTATTACAGATAAGAAAAAACAATTTTCCCTTCGAAACAATATATAACACCCGGCAAAATGCCAAAATACCTTTGCCAAAACCTACTTCAGCATTACCCAAAAATTCCGTAATATTTGGGAGTTGGAAGATATTCAATAATATACCATTTGAAATGAAAAGTATTACAGACTCAAAAACATTTTGAAAACCTGTGAAGGAACTTTTACTTACGAAAGCATATTATAGCTTGGAAGAATATCTTGAAGACAGATTTTTGAGTACCTGAACCTTTGAGGTTAAAACGACTGATTTATTTTATTTGCAAATGCAAATGTCCTGTCTTCATGTGAGCGTTAGATTTTGTATTGTTTCATTTTACTTTAATTGATTTACCGTAAACTGACTGCTTCGTCAATAAGATTTTTTTTTCTTCGACAGTAAAGTACATTTTTGATTTGATTTGACCTTCAATTAATGAGTAACTGGACTAAATACGATATTTTCTATTCAAAATTTTAATACCAAGTTTCTGCATGCCAAAACAAGAGAGTTAGTTATTAACTATTCCAAGTCAAACCCTAAGTGCAAAGTTTTTCAGTGCAAATAAAATGAAATTATTTCAGCATCACTTTTCCTAATGATTTTGGTGAGTTCAAAGTTTTAGAGTTTCGTTCGAAATTGTTCACTATGCCACACTTGAATTCCAATACTGAAGAAAACAGGACATTATCACTGATGCTTTGACGATAAAATATCAAATAGTAATAATCATTATATTTTTTACTTATGAAAATATTTTTTATTCCAAATAATGGCTATTTTGAAAATAATTCTATCAAGAACACATTTGATTTTTTAAATATCCTTCGACATCTGTTGAGCCGGTTTCAAACGAAAACGATTAAGCGAGAGAAAACTGCGAAATATAATTATTTTTTTCCAAAATTATATTGAATTTACGCTGCAACTTTTCGGGGCGAACTAGAAGCTTTCCATTCATACAACGGATTGAAGTTCCCCACTGATTTTTTTTTAGATTGTCGAAGGTGAAAATACTCGAAAGGGTTAACAAAAAACACACTTGTCATTTAGCAATATACAATAACTTTCTTTCAGTATCAGTTATTTCTTTAACCAAAAGTGTTGTTGTGTGCCTTTCAAACCAAGCACGAGTTGAAATCATTTTTTCCCGTGAATATGGTATTATCGTTTAAAAATTGATACCTTTCAAACGGAGAATATTTCCGACCACTGTATTGTCAAATTCCTCGCCATAATCAGTCTGATGGTACGTCCTGCAGTATGGTATGTCCTCTATTTATGAATGTTTTCATGCAGTTTGGAACTTCACTCTTTTCTTTCAAAACACTCAACATAATTTGGAATGATCGTTTTTCAAACACAGAAAATACTTTGCTCAACGCAGCGACTACTTTCGCATTGGTGCGTAAACATCGGCATGAAATAACTCAGCTACCTTTGTTGGTGGATTTTCTCGTTCCGAAATTAGCGTTGTGGTAATTATCATACCTATACACAGTCGTCACAAAAATCTTCATTGTTTATTTCGATACAATGCTTTCTCCAATTTTTTCGTATGACTTATGCTTTGATGACAAAATCTTGCATGGCAAAACTGTACAGTTTCAGTATGAGACATGGTAGGTATTGCAGGTACCAGTTTTTTTTCCATTTTTGTAAAGGAACATCTATTCTAATTGGCTTTGAAGGAAATCTTCTTTTGATGTTTCAACTCATAAAAAATAGATTTCTTCTAACATCAACAACATATCAGGAAAACACCCAATTTTGGTACTTATGCGAATGACAATATTTTGTTACTAACAGCAAAAAGAAAAAATTGCGGTGTGATTTGAACTGTTCAAATATTTTTTGAAATGCTGTTTTCACATAAAAAAAAATGTGATATGTTAGAATCCTACTTGGTTTGTAAGAAAAATAGCGTAAGAGCACTCCAGTACTTATAAGTAAAGACCAGTGCAAACACTAGAACCTGATGACCGTGAGAGACGATTGGGGTTTTGTTGGTGGTTCGTGAATAAATGAAGACAAGGTCCAAATTTCTATAGAAATATTATATGGAGCGATAAGGCTAATTTTTCAAATTGTGGGATGTATAAAAGAAATAATTTTCATTATTAGAGTAGACCTAATCCATTTCTAGTCCATCCCCACAATCCGCAAAGACGATTTAGTATTAATGTTTGGTGTGATCTATTCAGAGGCAGAATTATCGGTCCATTTTTCTACCATGATTCTTTGAACGGGCCCCGTTACATTAATTTATTAACAAGAATGTTGGAAGAGTTTTTCAATGATCCTGATCTGGAGGCTCGTCGAATGATCTATTTTCAGCAGAATGGAGCACCATGAAAACCTCTAGATTTTTATTTTTGAAGATTTCTAAAAAATGAGGTGTACAAAATAAAACATAATAATTTAAATGAATTGAAAAATGATATTGAAACTATAATTAATAGAATTGATGGACGAATTGTGTTGAAAGCAACACTTAGAGAAGGACCCAAATATGTGTTCAACAAGAAGGCGGCGTTTTTCAATATTTACTCGATATTTTATAGATCTTTATTCACCACAATAAATTTTTTTTGTACTATTGAAAGAAAGAAATATTTCCACATAAGTCGCTCATTTTCAACTTTAGGAAGAAAGGTGATAAGAGCTTTGTTGTTGATTTGTTACTGGCATCGAGAATGACATTAAAAATGCTACTAATAATGCTGCCAGTATTATTGTAGAAGATTGAGTCTATTTTCCAACTCAGGAAAAATCATTGAATATATGAAACCTCATTGGCCTTCTACTTCTCCATCATCAAATAAAGAATTTGGAAAACTTCCAAAGAAAAGAAAGAAAATTACTTCAATAAAAACTTTTCATGAATATATGTAGATGCAAACTGGAAAGACAAAATTCCATCGAAACAACTACTTTCATATAAACGTTGACTTCCACAAAAGAAAAAAGTCACATTCGATATGAAACTGAAACAGATATCATTCGTATGAATGCTACATAATGTAATGTATGAGAGTATTGATGTAAAATGCAACTTGAATGGAACACTATCATCCTCAGTGATGTAAGTGGAAGTTTCGTGAAGACAAGGTATTTGTTTAATCACTTTATCAGCACATTTCTTTTATACCATTACGACTTTACTTTACAAAAGAAGACAATTATGTCTTAGCCATAGGAATTTCATTCAAATTGAAAAGGGAAAATTAGTTTTTTGTTTTTTTTCTTACTAATTACTTACCTATTATTGATGAAAAAAGTGGAAACTTCCAAAGAAAAGAAGAAAGAAAATTATAATCTCTACTTAAAATATTCCATTTTCAATTTAAATAAAATCTTCCTGTTGAATCATATTAATATTGAGTAATAGTCATTTTTTATTTCTTCTGGTAGAGTATGGTTAGAGTACATTATTTCATCATTTTACATACTATAGCGTATTTATGACAAGTCACGAATACGGTAATCATTGTTCGGAGTTATAAGGATAGTAAGTTATGTATATTAGTATGTCAATAAACTTCTGTTTGTGAGTGATTAGGTAACCATTAACTCTTGATTGCTTGCCTATAATTTGGGAGAACTGAAACAAATTGTTTTATCTGCTTTTTAACAATATTGATTTGTAGGTTACACGATCTTGGTAGAACTGTTGGCGTAAAACTTATTGATCTTTATTTTATACGAGAACGAGGAGGTAAAAGAGAAATCAAGTTGTTGAATATTCTTCTTTTTGTTAAGTCAACTTTATGGAAAGTGAGTAAATATAGTGAAATCAAAATCCATAAAACTTATTGGCAGTTTTAATTTCAGGCTCTGTTTGGCAAGGAAGCCGATAAATTGGAACATTCCAATGATGATGAAAACACATACTATTTGATGGAAAAAGATCCTCTAGTAAATCGATTCATCTCAGTACCACGTGATAAGAGTAGTCTGAATTGTGCTGTGTTCATAGCTGGAATTGTTGAGGCAGTTTTGACAGGAACTGGATTTGTAAGATTTTGTTGTTTGTTACTATATCACTTATCTATCTTGTGTCAAAACATTACGTTATTCTGCTCAATGGGTTTCTTAAAAAAATTATAATATAATTAATAAGTATTAATTATCATTTCAATCAGATTTTGAGAATATCCTTATTTAGAAATGGATAACTTAATATTTGTAGCATTAATGCGTCATTGCCTTTAGGAGTCGTCGCGAGATTTATATACAGAGTATTAACCCTGAAGTATTCATGTGAGAGATTAGACAAGATACAATTAGGTAATTGACTGAGTAATAGTAAGCCAGAAACAAAATTAAACGGTTTACAAAGGGCGATAATCTAATGTTCCAATCATATATCATTGTTTTGAGACATTTTAGAATGAATGTTGGTTTGTGATTTTTATCTATTTATATTTTGGATATGTATTTTATTCATGTAATTGCAATACATATATAAAAGTTTGATAAGAGTTGAATGTTGAGATGGATGTTTCTTCTAATATTTTTTAAATTTAAATTTTTTTTGCTGAGGTGTTTCACTTTTCCAAAACATAGTTATGGTCTCAAAAATTTTTGGATTAATATCAATACGAGTAATTATCATCATTAATAAGAATGAATATGAATAATGTAGGAAAAGAGGAAAATTATTTCAATAAATTGATGGATGTAGCCGTTTCTACGTGGCAGGAAATCATCATAAAAAATGAAAATTGAAACTTTCTATGTTTTTTACCACTTTTATTTGTAAATTACTTTACTGAAGTTTCGTCCTATAAGGACATTTTCAAACTTATACAAAAATGATTGAACTTATACAAAAATGATTGATTACATTAGCCCTTATATAACATCACTGTAGGTAATAACAGAGGTACCTAACTTAATTCAGTACCTGAATTTTGTTTACCTGTGACAATGTGGATACGCTAATTTGAAATCCGGTGAGTAAACTAGGTCGATTTAATCATTTAACAGGTTGCACCCCCAATGTTTATGCTTATGAATTTCCAAGGATTCCAAATAATTGAGTTTGCAACATTTCCTTGCATAGTGCAAAATTTTCATATCATTTAGATTCGGGAACTTGTGGTTGCATCCCAGGGAATGGTTTGAAAACGTCAAATCATTGTAACCTTGTCTGAAGAACCTTTTATGTTCAGCATACCGTTTTGAGAAATTTCGACCACATTGTCCCACATAAACACTATTACACTCCACAAACTTAAGCTTATAAACTCCAGATTTCTCCAACTTGTCCACTTTATCTTTGGCATTGAAAAGGAAATCAGATAACCTGGCATGTAGTCTGAGGGCCGCTTCCACATTGGTTTTTCTGAAGAAACCCGCAATTATCTCTGTTCTTTTACCAAAATATATTAGAGTTCCATCTGTCCTATATATACTTATTGATTTTAACATCAATTGTTTTTCAGCCAGCCAAAGTAACTGCCCACTGGCATAAAGGAACCACTTACATGGTAAAATTTGATGAGACAGTGTTAGCGAGAGATAAGAACTTAGAGGAGAAGTAGATATAGTTAATTCAATGTTAAATTATAAAATATTGTAAATAATAATAAATATATAACTGAAATTAGTTTAATATTTTTTTATTTCTCATTACCTTATAATTACATATTACATATTTCTTGAAGCAAAAACAATCAAGCAATGCTATTATTGAATCATTAAAAGTCACTATGTTTTTACTTGTTTGTAAATTTACGTAAACTCAATAAGTTTGAAATGAAAGGTAGAACTGAAAACTCTGGCATAGAATGAATACAAAACAAGCACTTTCTTCCTCAAACACCAAAACTGCAACACTATTCGCTATACACCTTTCACCAACCAAGTTGGAGTCTTCAGGAGATGAAGTAAACTGAAGAGAATCATTTTATCCAATTCAGAAAATATATATTATAATTGATCATTGAATGTTGAAAATTATCATTTTCCAATTCAAGAGACAATCTTTCTAGCTGTAGAATATTTTGAAATATTAAGGCAAGCAAATTCTCTGTAAAAGTTTGATATCAAAATTGTTGTTGCACATTTAAAGTATCATGTACAAATAACATGGCTAAACACTCAATTATAAATGTAAAATTAATAAAGCGAAATATAATATAGGTTAACACAAAAGAAATTGATAATTAGTTTCTGAGTAAAATTATTTCACATTTGAATTGAGAGAAGAAAAAATATGTTCACATTCAAGAAATCATTTATACTGCTTCACTTTGTTATCAATGGTGAATTGAAATGCGACAGGATTAAATTTTTAATTGGAAAAATAGTAAACTTTGTCAGTGGCGCAAGTGGAGTGTGCCCGACACACGAATTTATATAGTTGAAGTTGAATTGATTGTGATACATTACATTGCTGACAGGTCTGCAAGTAGCCCTGATGCTTTCTTATTCAGAACATGAGGCTAATCATCACGTTATTCGATTCTGTTGACACTGAAAATAAAAAACAATAATGTCAACTGCTGTTAAATGAAGATAACAAAATATTAAAAAAACATTGAAATATACAGTCTCCCAAACTTATAATTGTTCTTGAACTTTCAAATATCTCCGCTGAGTGGCAGTGAACAAAAGTTATGGAGTCCTCCAAGAATAGCTTCATTCGAAGTTTCTGCAAATGCTACTCTGTTCCCCATTTTTTTCTGAATGTATCCTTGTCTCCAGTGTATAGAGATATACTTTTCTATTACAAAAACTAATGCTGCCTTTATGGATTTCTTCCATTTTGATTCTTTGTTGCAACTACGAAATACTTTCGTCACTCGCCGTTGATCAAAAATTTTGCTTGATTTGCTTAACTATTTGAAAACGAGAGAAAATCCCAGATGTAGGTAGGTGTGTTATGTCCCGACGAGAAAGTAAGGAGGAAGTAATTAAGTTCAGTGATTAAAGAACCGGGAATTCAGAATCGATCGAACTGTGCAAGCGCTCTACATATACCATAAAAGGTAAGAATGGAGCTACCTACTCAAAATCCGTTTTAAACGAAATTTGCTTGATTTTATCACAGCTTCCCATCTTTTACCGCGATTTTGCTCAACGCGCATATACTTTGAAAAACATAACCGCGTAACATATTTATCACGATAAAATAAACTAGCCAACAACAAAACCTAACAAAAACGTTCAAAAATTATAAACTGGTATTAATGGATCAGACATACTTACCCAGGCATGTGTATTGATTAGCGCTCGTTCGCAGAATTTGTTTGCAATGAACATTTATTCCAAGAAATCTGACAGGGTGGCGAAGTAACGAACTTGCTAGTCCTAAATTCAAACATCAATTACTTCGCAACTGGTTATCGAAATTCAAAAAAGTGAAGGTCACTGATTAGGGAATTTATATACCTTTCAAAAAAATTTTACACGATCCCTGTTTCCATAAAAAAGTTCATATCACTCTCTTGACGGCAAGTGATGAAACACTTGGCTTTTTTGTCAAAATTTTGTCAGACTGATATCTTGCCCCGCTCGAAAGTTGAAAGGGAGGAAAATAATTCTGTTAAAAAAATATGTTTTTCCGTTGAACAGCTGATGTCGCCCCCAATACGAACGACACAATCAAAACTTGTGCGAGCTAAGGACTAACGAAGTCTTACCTTTTAACGTGTGATTCCTCTAACACGTCCACAGTCTTCTGTTTCATGAACTAACATGAAAGAAAAATCTTTCTATTTTAACAATGCTTGTTGTGAGTTGGTGTCGAGGAGTATTGTTGAATGTCGATAATGGGATTATGATTTTCTAGTTATCGAAGTGGAGAACAAGTCTAAAATACATACAACAAAATCTGCAGCAAAACAATACGTAGTGTTTAGGATAAACTTGAAAAAAGAGGCCCTCACAATAAAGATAAAAAAATATCAAAATTTTGATGGGTTAGCAACTTACACGTTTTTCCTCCCATTTTTTTTGCATTTTTACTAAGAATACCTGCTCAAACATAATGATATTGTTATCGATATATCATAAAGCCCTGTTTGCTTTGCAAGTTTCAACTTGCTGTCAATTTTTTATTTGACCGAGCATTTTAGTGTCAATACTTTTTTTTAATGTGTAATTTGTAATTCATCACCATAGCAGCGAAATAAAGACTGACAGCTATGACATGAAATTAGTATAAAAATAAAAACAACAATAAAAATTAATTGGCACTCCGGGGCGACTTTATTCCATTGATTCCAGTGGCGAATTTGTACATATGAGTTGATGAGAAATAAATTAAGTAAAAAAAATCCGAAATAAAGGTCTACCCTGTAGGTCATCCTTACAACTTCTCGCTTCTTCGAGCTCAACATTTTAAAAATTATTTGAAGAAATCACTTAAATGTACATTTTTGAGCGACACTATTCACACTATTCATTGAACGTATCGATTTTCGCTCGCTTCCCCTTTTTTGAAATTTTTTAATTTTTATACCGGAAAGTGAAAAATTCAACTTTCATAAAAAAATTGTTTCAATTTTCTGAACAACTTCTATTAGATTTAGTGATTTACGCTCTGCGTAGAGCTCAGAATATCCCACAGTTTGGTTCGCATTTCATTAGCATTTGGAATGGAGAAACATCTTTCATTTCCTCGCAGGTGAATTCCATTATAATTTTGTAATATCTGCTGCATTTGATTCAATGTCTAATAGTTTGCGTTATAAATTTAACACGTTTTCATTAACTACGTCTTCTATTCCATGACAAATTGGGTAGTTGTTCTAGATTGAGTGACATTTTCGTTCACACTTTCGGTTAAGCTCATATTATGTATTTTCAAAACATGAATGTCAAAATCATATCCGTATTTTATTCATTTAATTGTTCGAACTTTAATGATGGTCGTCTTCGACCGAAACGGTTAAAATACATCAATCTTGATACATGACCTAATGTAGGATACAACATTTTATAGAGGAAAATACAGACACTATAGATAGAAGATAATTAGTTTTATTCATTCGTTGATAAAAACTTAAAAATTAGAATAGTTCAAAGAATGTAAGCTTTCACGGCTGGAGATAGCTGTGTGAAAGCTATTTTCCGGGTCCTTTGGCCATGGTCTGCACGTTTTATGCCTGCGTCTACAACTGCGGTTGACATTATCAACTGAATATTTGGATCCTAGTATTCATTTATTTCTTTCTTTTTCTCCTGAATTTAGGCTTTTTTATCACATTTTAGACAATGGAAATCGAACATCTGACTTTCAACAAACACCTACTTTATATGTGATGGAATTCTGGAACATTTACAAAACCGCGTTTTTTTAAGTGTTCTGTGAAAAGTGAAAATCTCACGATAAAGTATTATTTGACTACCGTACTTTCTATTTAAAAATTTGGGAGTTGTAACTCTATCTCTAACAAGGTATCAAATTCAATTTTGAGCAATATCAAGTAATTCTAAAATCTAATATTGACGTTTTTCCATAAACATGCACAACGATTGAAATAATCAATTCAGTCCATTTGGCTGCTCCACATTGTATATCTTCTGGTATGACTGGAAATGCAATAATCTCAGAACTATTCTTTTTTAAGGAGAGGGTAAACGTCATTTGTATTGCGGTTGAAGGTCCTTCTGTATATCCGCAAAGAAGCGACCAGGAAGTCAATTCCTTAGACAAGCTGTGACCTGGTTATTCCAATCAGAAGGGTTTCTTGGAAGTCAGTGAGCGATTCATAATCGTAGATTATAATCCTGATTAGGAATTCAAACATTCATCTAGACAGAAAGTTTTATTGCACCTTGGCCGACATCAGCTGTGTGACCATGTAATACTACCTTGATAAACACTGTTTCATATATTTTTGATTTTTTTCATTTACACAAAGTCTCTCCATAATAACAACAAAGTTTAAAAAAACAGATATGCCTGATCATTTTTATTCTCAATATTGCAGAGTGCCTGTCGAAATCTGCGATTAGTATAAATTCAGATGTGAAATTGTTGAGAATTGTCTCACTACATGAGACGACGTGATTTCATAAAAAAAATCGAATTTCATTAGTCCGGACTTCCAGTATTGTCTAATGTGATTCCACAATGATTCGAAATTTATGAAAGAACAAATAAAATTAGAATGAATAGGTAACATATCAATTATATTAGGCAATAATACCTGGAATGGAAATACAATACAACGAATAAAATAAACAAGATACAAAATAAAACCGATTACAGAGTAAAAAGTAATGAAAACAAAGGCATAAAAATAAAAATGAGCAAAAATTAAAAATCAATTGAAAAATATTTCAAACCAAGATACTACACGACGTTTCGATTGTTAGTATCCACAATCTTCAGCGAAATGGTTACTCCAAATTGGTGGTGGAACAGACTTTGGCTAGAAGACAGCAATAGCTCGCAAGGAAGAAAAGCCGCCAGTCACAACCAGTGCTTGTACTTCCCTACATCAGAGAATCGTCGGAGAGGATAGGAAGAATTGAGTCCAAGTATAACATCAGAATCTGCTTCAGATCCGGAAACACCATCCGTAGGAAAACCAGACCACCAAACGCAGACTGCGATTCCAAAAATTGCATTTACCGGATACCCTGTGAGTGCGGCAA